ATGCAGACGGCCCTTTGGGCCATCTGTATCCTATGTTCATCGAGAATCTTTTAAGCTCCCAGGAAAAATTACAGCAGTTTTCAAAAATATGTGAACAACGATTTCCATATACCTATGTGGGAAATCGAAGAATTTGGAAATTTAGATTAGTAAAAATTAAACTTTCGACATGAAAACTCCGGAAATCTGGGAATTCCTCATGACAAGGTGATCTGCGACCGTTCACACCTTTTTGAAAACAAGTCAAAAAGTTAATTCCGGCCGGAAATATGTAATGCGGGCCAAAATTTGAAGATCCTCGGCCGTTAGCCAATCAAAATCGAGGATTTGCCGTGACAATTTTGTTGCGGCAGCTATGGTCATGCGACTGCGCCCTCGATTGTCCAACGTCAAAATACATCATACCATACAGTACACAATTTTTATGTAAAATATATTACCGTACATAATCTCTATATCCCGTACTCGTGCTTGACACTGAAGGTTGAGAGAAACTTCCTGCTGCAAATCCAAATTGAGTGCTTGTTTGTGGATTAGCTGCGAGCCTAAATCCTGTTGGATTCGTATTTTGTGTACCGAAGCCACTACCGGAACCTAGGTTGTTAAATTGAACACCAGTAAATTGACTGCTTTTAACTTTAGCTCTGATCCAGAAATGCTAAATCCTGTGCAGCTCATATCCGAACTCCTTATAGCCCGAGAAAGTCTACTCCAAAAAACAGCTGACAGTTCTAAAGTATCAATGTTTGTATTACCAAAACCAATACTTGCCGACGTGGTAACAGCATTACAGGTGTTCGCAGAAGTACCAGATTCAAACTTATTTGAAATGCCATTTCAGTGAAGCTGCACCAGGATGTTTTTCAGCTCTTATTTGTAACCACGCGATTGACCAATATATAGTATCTATCACTATTAATCGACTTAGCTGTTTAAAAAAAAAAAAAAATCGACAAGCCGATTTTTTTATTATCTCATAGATCCGTTTTATTAAAGTTGCAGGGTATAAATCAGTTATCGTTACACGCTAGGTAGTGAGTGGTGTGAGCACAACGCCCGTAATTATAATGAATTATGGCAAAAAATGACACCACCAACACTAGGTTTTATCAGCTATATGTATAAGCGAAATGAAATTCTCTTAAACCGTCCGGTTTAGCAGGCAAAATTACCCCTAAAACATAGAACATTTAAAAAAAATTTTTCTATGAAAAAAATTATTCTTGACTCAAACATATGTCACACTTAACAATTGCAGTGTAGCATACTCGATGGCTGTTGAACTTTTGAGACATCTTATATTTTCACTATTACCTCCAAAATCAACTTCCGGGATGTTATAAAGAATCTTCGGCCAATTTTACCAACTTTAGCATTGTATATAAAGATATTTTCATGTGATTGTTGTCATAATCGTCATGCGATAGTCTTTTTTTAATTACAATCAATCCTGCTTAGTTATTTGGAGTAGTAGATTAGTGATGTCCAAAAATGTTGCATTTTCGTGTAACCAGAGCTTCCGGATTTTGGCCGAATCAACAGATTTTAAAACGCTAAATTAATATGTCGTTTAGATATATAAAGTTGCACCTAACCGGAATTATATGTATGAAGATCTAATTTCAGGGAACTTAATTTTTGTTAGATCAACTTTATATATCTAAAGTTGCAACTTCAGATAGATAGTAACTTTAGATACAACAGAATATTATGTAAAGTTGCTCAGATTCAGGGTTGTTAGTAGTAACTTATCATAGTAACTTATTATAATAACTTACTATGGTAAGTTATCAACACATTACAAATATATAGTAAGTTACTATTAAAAAAACTAATTATATAATGATTAATTAATTTATTAATAGTGATAATGATATAATATAAATAGTTTAAAATACCAAAAATTATCTATTTTAATCCAGGTTAAAATAACCTGCCATGTGATTTGTGGCTAGTATTATTTTTTTGAAATTAGTATAGTGCTAGAAGCCTATACTCAATGGTTATACAAAGTGTTTCAATTTTTTAAATGACTATAACTTTTCTTCTAAGAGGTTTTAAA